CCTGCAGGTGGACAAATCTAAGCTTGTTTTTAATAAAACAAATATAAATATGGATATAATAAATAATACTGCTAATAATAATAACATTATACAAAAGCAAATTGTTATAAATTAACTGAAAAAGCCTCCTGAGATGAAGAAGACATAAAAGCAGTGATTTTTCATATTTATGTAGGCTAGAAAATAATATGTTTTGTAATATTTTAATCCTTTATATTTATATTCTATATCTATTCTTATTATATCCTATATATATCCTTAATATTTACATTTGTTCATATGTAAAGATATTTGCCTATTGCTCTCTTGTGTGTATTAAGCAGTGTGTAAGCGAGGCGCAACTCTGCGCTGGAGTTTAGACCGGGTTAGTTTTGGTCTAATGAAAAATCTATCATAGATTCTTAAAATAGCAACGCACCAGCGGTCCGCCTCAGAACGCCTTCCTTTTTAGACCAGAACGCCTATGGGCGCAAAAACGAGCGCTAATGCATTTGCTATTTAAACAGCGTAGCGCAACGCCTCAAAACGACTCTTGCGCCAAGCTGAAACTACCAAAAGACTACTGCGCCACGCCTTGCGCCACACTGCGCGGGGTGTATGATAGGGTCCAATATCATCATTTGATGCAGATTTTCTCGAAAGAAGCTGTTACTCCATCTTGTTTAGAGCGTCATTACGGAGGTTTTATGTTAGAACTAAAGTAGTCGATGAATCTGCAACAGAGCAACTGTAGTTTAGGAAACACTCATCACTACATCGTTCATTCCTCAAACGATGCATCATACTATGATAGTTCAGCTGCGAGTTACGTTGTTGTTTGAGAAGCTCATCCCTGAGCAGCCCTTCAGGCAGCGTCACTACAGGCTCTTTTGGCTGTAAATCTGCTCCACATTGCAGCTCGCTCTGGCCAACAAACACCCACTCAGAGCTGCGCAATTCAACCAGCAAGGGTTTATTTTTATGCTCCGGGTTTATATGAGGGAGATGGCATGTATGTTTCATGTCTCTTTAAAGGTACACTCTGCAAAAACATGCTTTTCTTACAGAGTTTTTGTCTGGTTTTTAGTCCAAATATATAAGAAATCTTAAATCTAGAACATTTTTATAAACAAGCAAAAATAATGTCTTGTTTTCAGAAATATCGTTAAAATTAAGTGTAATTTTGCTTAAAACAAGCTAAATAGTCTGCAATTGGGGTAAGAAAAAAACAAACATTGCCATTTGCAGATTATAATTGGCATTATTTTTATTGTTTTAACACTCCTTTTACTGTAACGGAGGCCAGCTAGTATGTGCTGTGTGGGTAAAACCTCACTCCTCTGACCTCTAAAGGTGCTCAAGCGACAGACGCTAGAGGCCATGGTCTTTAGCCTCCTTGTTAGAGCAAATAGACTCCAATGCAGAAGGTTGCCGGTTTGATCCCAGCTCAAAGTGGGTAGGGTGGTGTTGGACCGGCGGGGTTACATTACAATAAAATCTGCTAACACCTTTTACTCATCTATTTAAAACCAAACGTTTGTGTCAGGTAATTGATGTCTTTGTTGAGTACTTAACAACACTTTGAAATAAACAATAATGCTGATTTTATGTCTTGAACATGACTGACAGCATATATTGTGGGCCCTGGAACATTTTTGATGAAATTAGTAGCCCTAAGTCTACCCTGTCATTCAAGTGTGGAGTGGGGCCATAATCATTTTCCATTTTTTGGAAGGTAATGTGTCTGCTGGTGGTTGATAGACAGCGGAAGGATCAACACTAGCAGTCTCATTCTCTGAGGAGGATGCCTCATAATCAGGGCCCTCCTCAAGACTATCCTGTCTCAGACACATTCTTCTCTATGTCACTTTTAGTGTCAAAAACCTGTGACAAAATCTCTGACAATAAACCTTTACTTAGAGTCTATTTTAAATTGAGAGAGGTTTAAATTGAGAGAGCTTAAAGAGCCCGAAGACCACAAAGAGAAATAGTTTACAACCACCCCCCCCCCCAAAAAAAAAAAACAAACAAACAAACAAACAAACAAACAAACAAACAAACAAAAAAAAAAAAAACATGGGAAATATCAAAGTTCTTGCAAGAATTAGGTTTTTCCCTCCTCCATGGCAAGGGAAATATCAAAGTTCTGGTGAGGATTTGGATTCCCCCTACCCCCATGTCAGTGGTTCTCGCAATGCATGCATGTATGGTTGTGTTAGTTGTTTTTATTATTATTATTTTAATTATAATTAACATTTACAATTTTAGTTCATATTATAAAATCATAGCATGTTATAGTGATCTAAATATCACCCAAAATAAATGTGTGTTTTTTTATTTCTTGTGTTTTATACAGCTAAAAGACCCTAAAAGAACACTGATGTTACAAAATGTGTACAGGACATAAAAAAATAATATCATGGTAATTTTTAGTTTACCAAGTGTTCCCTATTAAATTAGGAAAAGTCATTAAATTTGAAGCAAACAACAAAAAAAAAAAAAAAAAAAAAAATATGGACATACATTTAACATTGAATGGGGTCAAATTGACCCCAAGGATAATAGAAGGGTTAAGAATAAACTTACATGATTTTAACTTATTAATTCTGAAAACAAGACAACATTTTTGACTTGTCTAGAAAATGCTTCAAGAGTTAAGAATTTTTAAATTCTTGGACTAGAAATAAGACTAAAAATCTAAATTAAAAAAGCATTTTTGCAGTGTAGCATGTAGTACTTGTATTTTTTTTCCATTTTTATTTTATTTTATTTTATTTTATTTTATTTTATGCACTTACATTATCCCAAATGTTTAGTAAACTCCAGAGAAATCATCTTTATTAGCTAGTGAGATGGAGTGTGTGTTCATGCTAAATGACCTCAATTTCCAGTTTGGTTTTCTAGAAATCAAGGAAACAGCAGCGAGGCTTTAATATGTTGTGTGTTTTATTATACTGTATTATAACAAAAGCCTAAACATATTTAGTCTGATTAAACAACACTACTCAATCCCATTTACACATGCACTGCCTCTGAAACATTCATGCAGCATTAAAAATGTGGATCAGAAATAGGTTTGATTTGATTAGATATTTTTCTGCTTTTCACATCCGTATAATGCATTTTGTGATTTTTTTTTTTTTTTTTTTTTACAATTCAGAGCCACCGTATAAGCCAGTAGTGTCCAAACTTGGTCCTGGAGGGCCGGTGTCCAGCATATTTCAGTTCCAACCCCAATTAAGCACACCTGAACCAGCTAATCAAGCTCTTTCTAGGTATACTAGGGCTGCGTCCGAAACCGCATACTTCCATACTATATAGTACATTAAAATCAGTATGTGAGTCGAGTAGTATGTCTGAATTCATAGAATTGGAAAATCAGTATGCGAGAAGTACCTGGATGACTTACTACTTCTGGTGAGATTCTGGAGTACGCATCCCATGCACGCTGCGCTATCCCATGATGCCCTTTGAGCGAATTCATGAATGAGAGTGAATCGACACAATTGACGCAGGTAGGTTGCGTGGTCATGACAAAATGGAGGATGTAGCACGTCCGAATTCTATTCATACTTTTCACATTCATACTGTCTGGAACAAACTTTTTTAACGGCTGAATAGTACGTTTAAATTCAAATGCAGTGAGTAGTGAGAGGTTTCGGACGCAACCTAGACTTCCAGGCAGGTGTGTTGGAGGAAGTTGGAGCTAAACTATGCAGGACACCGGCCCTTCAGGACAGAATTTGGACACCCCTGGTATAACCTAACCCAAAATCTAGGCGACTGTTGGCATCACTAAATCCTATGGCTCGTTTCCACTGACTGGTACAGTACGGTACGGTTCGGGTCGGTACGGGTCACCTTTGTCAGGCTTGCGTTTCCACCACCAAGGGTACCCTTTTGGTGGTTATGGTGTATGACATAAAGTTTATGTCATGTATATGTCGAATAAATGTCTACAGTAAAGCTGTAGGGGTCGTTAACATATCATATTAGAAGCACTTCTCACAAAACGGATGCTTTATACACAATGATTGGGGGATTATAGCGCCTCCTGATGGTGAATGTGGTTATACTCGCGGCAGGTATTATTTGATAATTCGGTCCTTTATTTCACTGATTTGGCAACCGTCAAACGTCATCAGGGAAACGGTTTGAATTTCTACTTAGTAAAAAAAACATTAGTGCTCCATTTGGGACGACACTACATACATATACTATCCTGTTGAGTGTGTAAGTGCATAAGTACATAGTGCATGAGTGCGTAGTGTATAGTGTGCCATTTGGGACGCAGCTATACTGTATCTGTCATGACTGTCAGTGACCACCTGAGGGCGCTGTAGTTCAACGGACACTGGGAGTGAACTACAGCGCCCAAAAACTACAAGTCCATACATACCACGCGCATACACCCGGTCCACGTACACTGACCTGCTATCACAGCTGTGTCTGTTTACCGTTGATTTCCTGGACTATTTATACAATATCGTTACTGCGTCGTTTGTCTTTCTTGTCTCCGTGATTCCAGTAAGTCTCGTATTTCGAGTTGTGATTCCTGAGCCTTCTCTCTGATTTATGTTTCTTGTTTTGTTGTTTATTTGTACTTTGCACTTTGGAGACTGTAAATAAATCTGCACTTGGATCCGCACCTTTTGTTCCCGTTTGATCTCGCTAACGTGACAGTATCTCCAATGAGCCTGGCTTGGGTCAATGCCACGTGATTGACAGGTTGATCCCGCCCTCATATCTGTAAACACCAATCAAAGAAGTCCCTGGAAAAACTTTTTGATTCAAGATTGCAAGAACACCCATTTTTCCTTTTGACTTCATGCTGACTGTAAATGTGTGTTTTTCTTCATGATCAGCGGGCGCTCAGCCAGGTTTTAACATACTGATAAAATTGCTCCTGGGAGATTTTGGTTGTGGGCGAGATCACAGCAGCTAAGCATCCGTAAAGAGGCTTAGAGGCTTATTTTCAGGATGTTTGATGGCAGCGAGGATTCATTATTGTCTTCCCTCAGGAAGCAAAGCTCCGGGAGCTCCTGGATGTGGGGAATCTGGTGGGACGGATAGAGAACCGGATGCTGACGGTGGTGACTGGACCCGACATGGTCAACATCCAGTACCTGAACTTCATGGCCTTCCAAGAAGACGTCGCCAAGGTAATGCTTTCATCAGCATTTATCAGTTTATATTTTAATAAAGTGCCTCATTATGCTATTTTAAATGTTCCTTGTGTTGCTTTAAAGTCTCCTGTAATGCATTCACTTATCACATATACAGCGTGGGAAATAAGTATTGAACACCTGGGAATAAAATTTCTAAAGGAGCTGTTGACTTGCAGTTGAACCTGATTAAGGTAAAAATAGAAAACAATACAAACATTAAAACATAACAAAACAAAACAAAACAAAACAAAAAAATCTGGAAAAAGAGTTCTGTGTAATAACAATGAAATACCAGAAGGAGAAAGTGCTGAACTACTGAAATGCATTTAAATCTTTAGGTAAAAGCTTTTTTTTTGGTGGTAAAGACGCCTCTCATATAGAGAATGAAGACATGTGCATTGCTCAGGTGTTAGTTTCTCACATATTTCAAGGGAGTGTAAAAATCTTGATGGTTCTGTGGGTCTCGTCTATAAAATCTGAGCTTTATTTTGTATTTTTTATATTGGATTCAGGTCAGGTGATTGGTTGGGCCATTCTACAGCTTGGTTTTCTTTCTCTGAAAGTATCTGAGAGTTTGCTTGGCTGTGTTTTGGATCATTGTCTTGTTGAAATGTCCACCCTGGTTTCATCTTCATCCTCCTGCTAATGTAGATGTTGGACTGAAGCAGCTGATATTCATTTACACTGAGGAAGGGCAGAGGCTTGCTGAAGAACTACTGAGAGATTTCAGGTCTTTCACTGCCTTTCTACAGATCCTGTTTTTCATGTGTATGACACATAACCTAATTTGTAGTCTAATTATTTATTTATTTATTTTTTGCATATATGGATTTGTTTTGGTTGTTAACAGCCTCTGGTGAAAATTTCCGGTCAACAGCGCCTTTAAAAATATGTTTTCCAAGAAAATGGTGACAGGTTCAATACTTATTTCCCCCACTGTATTCAATATCAAGGAACACTAGTTCACAGCATCAGCTCTTTTCTCACTGTGTTCAAGGATCTGCTCTTTAAACCCCACCTTTTGCAGAGTCTACTCTGCTCTGATTGGTCCGTTGGCTCAGTCTGAGATTTATGTAAATATCTTTTTTAGATATTTCTCAAGTGTTATTTATTATTTTTTACAATATTACATAATTATCTTCTGGAGAAATTATTTATTTTAGTTTGCATGAAATGAAAAAAAATCCTCAATAAATAATATATATATATATATATATATATATATATATATATATATATATATATATATATATATATATATATATATATATATATATATATATATATATATATATATATATATATATATATATATATATATATATATATATATATATATATATATATATATATATATATATATATATATATATATATATATATATATATATATATATATATATATATATATATATATATATATATATATATATATATATATATATATATATATATATATATATATATATATATATATATATATATATATATATATATATATATATATATATATATATATATATATATATATATATATATATATATATATATATATATATATATATATATATATATATATATATATATATATATATATATATATATATATATATATATATATATATATATATATATATATATATATATATATATATATATATATATATATATATATATATATATATATATATATATATATATATATATATATATATATATATATATATATATATATATATATATATATATATATATATATATATATATATATATATATATATATATATATATATATATATATATATATATATATATATATATATATATATATATATATATATATATATATATATATATATATATATATATATATATATATATATATATATATATATATATATATATATATATAAATATATATATATATATATA